AATTAGAAAAACAAAATTTGATCAAGGTAAACACATATAGGATGATTTGTTGTTTCATTTGCTTTTCTCGCCAACTGAGTTTGCTGTGTTTAATTGGATAATTTTTTTTTTTGACATTTTGTAAATCTTGAAGATTGGAAATTGAAGATCTAATTTTGTAATTTTAATCAAAATTTTTTGTAAATTTTTTTTGAAAAAAAAGTTGTAAACAGCAAAAGTCAAATGCTACGCCCTTACCTACCCTCTCCTCTAGCTTTACATGATTTTTTTCAGTTAGATTTTCGATTTTCTACAGATAATCTCTCCAGTTGATTAAAATCAGTCAGAAAAAAGTTTTTTGATCTTTCTTTGATACTCTCTACTGCCTATATCATCATTTGCAAAAAAAAAGAATGTTTAGTTTTTTTTCTTTCATTTCAGTCTTCAGTCTTGATGTTTTGAACATTGAAATTGATTGAGAATTGAAAAAGTGTGAATGACAGGTAACGAATGAATCAAAAACTTGAAAAAAATTGCAATAAATTATCCACAATGTTGTTGATGATCGAAGAAGAAATACGAGAAAAGACGAAACATTTTTGGCAATAGAAGAAAAAAAAGGCAAAGTCCATCCGAATCAAAATATCTTGATGATGATGATGATGATGATGATGATCATTTCTTTTCTTTCTCGTTGATTTTTGGTTGCTGAATGTCTACTCAATATTCTTGTTGTTGTTGTTGTTGTCGAAGGAGAGAAAAGATTGATTTCATACAACAACAACAACAAAAATTAATCCAATCAAATCAATCTGGCAACCTTGGATTTTCTTCTTGTTTTTGCTGTTGGTTTGATTACTTAATGAAAACAGAATGGGTGAATTTTCATCTAATGAAAAAAAAATATGATTTTTTTCTCATTTCGTTTCTCATTATTCTTTTTCTGAATGTTTTTCAATGGAAATAAATCAACAAAATGGCAAACAACTCGGTGTGTGTGTGTGTGGCAACTATAATCAACCTGAAATGAACAAAAAGAATTACAAAGGAATGAAAAAACGAGAGATTATCATGGCAAACGAATGAAGGAATTTAGAATATTTTAAGCAACAACAACAACAAGAGAGACATGCAATTCATTCGAATTGATGCAATTAGAAATTTGTTTTGTTTTGTTTTGTGTTTTTTGATTAATTAATTTCATTAATAATTTTGTTGTTGTTGTTGCTTTTGTTGTTGTTGTTGTTGCTTTTGTTGTTGTTGTTCTGTAAAACACAGAGAAAGAGAGATGATCCTATAAACAATTTTCTCCATCAAGTTGATTAATGTTTCACTTTTTTTCTTACCTGTGCGTTTGTTTGTTTGTTTGTGTGACATTTATTCATGATTAAAATGACGTACAGACGTTAGTTTGATTTTGACTTGACTGATTAAGATCACAATGGTGGTCATCATCTTAATGAATGTTTAGAAAAAAACAAAAACACAAAACAACGAAAACAACCGGGTTGACAGAAAAAAAAATCTAAAAATAAAACATCTTTATTCATTGATTGAATGAAGTGCCAAAACAGCAAACTGGCCATAAAAATGACATTTTAAAACATTTGTTTCATTTCATTCAAAAGATTCAAAAGATTTTTTCATTTGCTCCATATTCGACAATCGACACACACAGCATGTCATAAAATCATAGACAAATTAAATTAGATTGCCCTTTGGTTATTTATCGTAAATTCTGTTTTGGTTTTAGCAAAAAACTTTGATCAAAATCAATATAGAGTTGATAAACCTTTTTGATTTGATTTGATTTGATTATGATATCAATGAAAAAAAGCCAATCAAATCAATATTTGGATATTGATAGAAGATTATCATCATCGTCTTGATGATTATGGTTATGATGATTATTAACCCTAGACATCATTATATCGTTTATCTTTTGATATTTTACCGAAATATTTGTATCTTTTTTTTTATTCACTGGTGATGACTTAACGATGCGATAAATTTTTGCTACAAAAAAAACGATGAAAATCTGATGTTTAAAATTCTGAATTTTCTAAAAAAAGGTGTTAATTGAATTTTGAAATGGAAAAAAAACCCTTCGAAACCCTTGTCCGGGTAATTAGTGAAAAAAAAATTCAGAACGGTCATCAAATTCAACGGAATTTTTAACGAAAAATTGAAAATTTTTTTATGACTTTTTTAAAAAAAAAACGGAATGAAAAATTTAAAGCAGCCAGCAGCAAATTCAGAAAAAAAACCAGATCAAATCTTTTTTCTCGAAAGAAATTGTCCAGACTATTTTTTCAAAAAAATTTGATTAACACTTGATTCTCCTCTTCGTTTCTGTTATATTTTTTTTCGTCGTTGTTGTCGATGGATGTGGATGAAATTTGAAACTTTTATTGCCCATTTTTCGTTGGTGTTGTTGTCTTTACTCTATAAGTATTTTTGGTTGTTGTCTTGTGCACTGTGATTGTTTTTTTGGTGGTAAAGTAGGGGGTGATCAAATATGATAATTTCGTTTTTGCTTTGGGGTCTTTTGACTTGACTTTAACAACCGAAAAAAGAAGAAAATTCCCAAGAAAAAAAAATGTTTGTATGGAAAAGAAACCGTTAGTTTTTTACAGTTTTAAGTTTTTGCTGGAAAGAAAAAAAAAATTTTCAAGAATGAAGAGTTGTCTCTTCTGGCCGATAGATTCTATCGGCTTTTGCATTCAAAAAGTCTGTTGTTTGTTTGTTTTTTGGTTTTAAATTACCAAAAAACAAAAAGAAAGAAAAAAAATACCCAGTAGCAATTCCCCAAAAATTCAATTTTTCAAAATTTTAATTTTTTGTCTTTTTTCTTGTCTTTTTTTCCAATCTAATTTTCAAATATAGGAAAAACAAACAAACATAACACACACACGTGCTATGTTGTGATAAAATTTGATTACCGAAATTCATTCATTCAACATTTATTATTCACCTGTAACCGATATACGTCAAACAAACAAAATAAACAAAAGCAAAAACAAAATAATACTAAACGATATACGTAATTTTTTTTTCATAATCAAGTCTCAATATTAATAATCGATATTAAATAATCAATAATCAATAATCAATAATTAATCAATCGACGGCTGTGTAGCAATATCTATCGTTTAATAATCAATCAACAAATCATGTGCGACAGTATGACACCTTATCATTTCGCTCAAACAGCGACAACAACATTACCAACATATTTAGGACATAACCATAATAGTCCACCACCACCACCACCCATACCATCATCGCAACATCATCCACATCCGCATCCGCATCATCATCATCATCAGAATAATCATACACCCCCATCACCATTGCATTCACATCATCAATCTCATCATAATCCTCATAATCAACCGCAACATCATTCACAAACAATGTATCATCATCCTAATCATCATCCAAATCATCATCTAAATTCACATCCATTTTCATCAATCAATGGTATTGGTGGTGGTCCACATCATTCGCATCAGCAACAACAACATTTAATGATGATGGAACATCATACGCATCCTCATCATTCACATACTAATCATTCACATCCTCATCCAACACATTCACATAATCATTCGCATCATCCACATCAACATTCGCATCATCATATTTTAACCGGAACAAATCCATATGGTCATATTACAAATGGTGATTTAGCTAGTATCGTAGTCCAACAACAACAACAACAACAACATTCAAATATGCCAATTTGTCTTGATAATAGTGGTCGAAATAATCATGGTTTATCATCATTGAATCAATCGCCACCAATAACATCGAATCAACAACAATTATTATATCCATTATCAACATCAACTACACCACCACCACCACCTACACAAATACCCCCATCTCATACACCAAATTCACATCAAACATCATCACCAGTATCCATTCATCAATATGGTAATAATGCTAGTGGTCAACCACCTTATCCACGATTTCCACCTTATGATCGTCTTACCGAACAACAACAATCGCAACAACTAAACAAACATCTACCTGATCAATCTACCATTGTTTCAAATCCAAATTCAAATAGTCAATCAAATGATTCAACTAGTCCATCATTTTATTCAAATAATAATAATACTTCATCATCATCGACAACAGCAACAACAACATCCAACAATGTTGTTGTTAACCCTTCGGCAACAGCACCAACTTCCTGTTCAAATAGTCAACAACAACAACAAATTCCATCATTAGCTTCTACTGCACCTCCACCATATGATTGCAGTGGGGGTGGTCGTATTTCAATAACACCACCATCATTAGATGGTGGTGGTTCAAACGGTGGTTTTGGTAGCTGTAAAATATTAAGTGATGGTAGTATTACACCATTAGATCAACAAAATAATCATTCACCATCACCTAATTCATCATTACATCATCATCAACAACAACAACAACAAATTTATGGAATTGATAATAATATTGGTTCAATTGGACATTTAGGTGGCCAACCAGTTTCACCTGGACAACAATCACAACAATCTGAAGTTCCATCATTAGTTTATCCATGGATGCGATCACAATTTGGTATGATCTTTGGTTTTTTTAAATTTTCAAAAAATTTCTCTAATCATTACTGCCACCTGTTGTTCTGGATTCAAACTAATTAGTTTTTTAAATGATTTTTTTTGTTTACACGATAGATGGCATTCAACCAACAAAAAAAAAAGAATATGGAATTTTGAGCAAAATTCTATCTGACAAAATTCTGTTTGTTATTGTTGTTGTAGAATATTCCATAATGACTCTAATGTTATTAATTCAATTAATTGTGGTCAATCGGATAATCATAATACTTTAGTCAATGAGAAGTTAGAATTAGGTGATAGGATAGGATTCATTTGGGTTATTTGCAAGTTTTGCCTACGAAAAGTTAAGAAATAAATCCATCAATTCGTAATCTTTCAATTATCTTATCCTGAAACAATTCAATTAGAAAATAAAGATGTTTATGTTTACTAATTAAGCTGTAATTGAATTGAAAAGTAAACTGAATTTTCTCTCTGAAAATTCCGAAGTCTTGGTATGAATTTCATTTCAACAGAATTGAAAAAAATGAAATAAGAGAACCTTGACGATTTTCTTATTAGATGGCGCTTATTGTTTCGAGAAAAAAACAACAGAATTTCTTTTCAAAAATTCTTGATAACTTTATAAATTCTGGAATTTAGGAATTTTATAAATTCTGTTCGAAAATCTTAATCTAAATAAATATTCAAGAATTCTGTTCAGAATATCGATTGAATTGTCGATTCTTTTTTGTGTGTAATAAAATATACGCATCACGTATTTAGACAAAAAAATTTCTATTTCTTTATTTTCTAGCCAACCAAAAGAAAAGATAAAGATTTCACGTTTTTTCGTTCAATTTGGAGTTAAGTATGCGATGGAATTAGATGATGAAATTTTTTGGATCCTAAGCTTTTCCAACTGATGTGATCATTTCCAGACAGAATTTAGATTCTATTTCCCTTTCCAAAAAACGAAAGATATTCCATTTTGATCAGTTTTTTTTCCTTTTCAAGAGATGCTGTTGTTGTTGTTGAATCTAATTCCATTAAATAATGGTGAATTAACACAACACACACGCGAATTCCTATAGTGTTTTTTTCTCTCTTCATTGCACGGATTCCATTTTCCGATAAATTCCGTTTCAAATTCCGTTGTAGTTGTTATAGTTTTCATTACTATTGATTCCATTTTTGCAGCCAGAGAGAGAGAGAGAGAGAGAGAAAGAGAGAGATTCTGGATACTCTGAATTATTATAGAATTTATCCATGAACGACGAAAAGCTCGAAAAATGCTATTAAAAGATTTATTTGCACAATTCATTTCAAATGACACATCGCAAAGTATCGCAAAGTGAACAACAACAACAACAACGAAAAAAAGTTTGTTTCACTTCATCTCACACACACGATGTGCATTTTTTCGTTAGCAGAATATACTTTCACATCATATCATTTCTTCAAAGTTTTTCCTTTTTTTTCTCTCTCTCTCTCTCTCTCTCTAATAAGTTACCGTTATATATTTCAATTCCAATCGGAATTCCAATTCCAAAATGTTGTGCGTGTGTTCATTTCCTGTGAGATTTGTTTTTGTTGTTTTGTTTGGAGATCCTTTTCGAAAAGTTTTTGCTGCTGTTGTTGTCTACATCATTTTGATGAGAGAAAATGTAATTTCAGTGAATTTCAAACCAAACCAAACGAAAAAAAACCGTTAATGGAAAAAATAGAAACTTTTTTGGTAAAGAAAAAAAAACAATTTCCAGAATTTACAGAATCCAAAGAGAATTTTTTCGAAACGAAAATTGAAAAATGTCTTTTTTTCTCTCTGCCTATAATAATCTTCTATGTTGAAACAACTTTATGAAAATCATTATAGCTTGAGTGGAAAATCTGAAAAAAAAGCTTTTTGAATTTCCGAAATAAAACAAAAAAATGATGCAGACTGAAAAGGCAATCCTTCCATTTTTTTCCCCTTGATCCAAATGAATGTGAAACATAATCCTTATAGACTTAATACGGGGTTTATTTTTTTACATTCAATATGAATCCAGAAAATAGTAAAATATATTTTTGGTTTGAATCTCAGAATAATAATAATGATAATGAATGATAATAGAGATGTGTGTGTTATTAGTTTTTCCTGGTTTTCTGGTTTTTCTGGTTGTCTCTTTGGCTGGATTTGAATGAAAAATTCATTAAGATTTTCATTTCCATAAGCGGAATATTTTTGCATAGTTTTTTCTTGGAATTTCGGTTTTTAAATTTTGTTTTTTTTTTGTTTTTGTTTTTTTTCATAGAAAGAAAACGTGGACGACAAACATATACCAGATATCAAACATTAGAATTGGAAAAAGAATTTCATTTTAATCGTTATTTAACTCGAAGACGACGTATTGAAATTGCACATTCATTATGTTTGACTGAACGACAGATAAAAATTTGGTTTCAAAATCGTCGTATGAAATGGAAAAAAGAAAATAAAACAAAAATTGATCATCAAAATCAACAAGGAATACCGATTGGTACTGGTGGTGGACCACCAGGTTCAAATAATGGTGGTAATGGTGGATCATGTATGGATTTAAATCATCATATTGATATCGATGGACATCGAGGCTAAACTAACTTCATCATCATCCACAAAACTCATCCACAAACAAAAAAAAAACATCACTCAGGTCAGGAACAAAACACACAACAACTACTACAACTCATTTATACGTAATCATTTTTTTTTAAATTAAATAAATTCTTTTCTTGCAACCTCACTCACATTCACTCAAACATAAAACATTCATAGAATTTCAATTTTATCATCATAAAAACAATTGACAACATTACATCATCAAACATTGATCTGATGTAATTACTTTTAATTGTAAATATAAACGAAATTTTCAAATTTGAATTTTGAAATTTGAATTTTTCACTACTTTATTTGACTCCATAGATATTTTTTTCTTCATTCTTTTTTTAGATTTTTGTGTGTTTGTTTTTTGTTTGTTTATTTGTTTCTGTGTGTCCATTTTCATTACACAATTTTTTTTTCTTGGTCAGATCATAGGGAAATGAAAGAAATGAATATCAAAAACACAGCAGCACACAGCATACATATGATAATTTTCAAATTATTTATTCATCATCATAATACTATTTTCACTTCTCTTCTTTTCATAATTCATATATTCAATATACATAATTTTCATCCATATTCGTATTCGATTCGATTCACTACCAATTGAACTACTATCCATACACGCCCCATACCTGTGTGTGGTGTTGTCTCTATTTCACTCTGATTTGGCATTCATCTTGGTAACAAAATAAATACTGAACAAAAATATAACCCCTAACCATACACACACAGCATACCTTCATCCTTGAGGCAAAATAAACGGTTTTTTCCTATGAAAAAACGGTATTTTTTTCCGAAGAAATCCAAAAATGACACACCATATTTTTTTTCTTCTTGGGCCATAAAATTATCGCTTGAAGAAAAAACACTATTTACACACACACACACAATGGCTAGTCTAAAATTAGAATCTTTTTTTTTGAAGATAAAAAAAAAGTTTTTCAGATGAAAATTATATGGGGGTACCTTTGGGTGAAATTTTTCTTGAAACCAAACACACACACACATCGATACACATTAGGTGCAATCTGCTCTTGATTTTTGTTTCATTTTCATTCTCCTGTTTAACCTTGCCCATTTTTATTTTTACTTTTATAATTTTCATTATCACGTTTTAGACACACACACACACACACACACAAACAGTCAAAATGTTTTTACCTGGAAATTGGCCATCAAAACAAAACAAAAAACGTGTAAAAGAATGCGAACCAACAAAAGAAACTAGAGCAAACATGGAAATTATTAATGGATTTTTGTTTCTCGCAAAGAAGAAGAAAAAAACGAATCAATTTTTGACGGTCAAAGGTTGGTTAGAATAGTTGGTTAGTTAGTCAGAATTTTTGATGATTGAACAGATAACAGAAAACATATCAGCCAAATTCTTGAATTTTTCAATTTAATTTTTTTTCTCCTGTTTCCCATTTCTCACGTGTGTGTGTGTGTGTATAGTGTGTTAATGAATTTCAGCTTTCCCCAGAAAAAGAAAAAGAATAAAACGGTAAATCTTGAATCTCTATACTGATCATTATCATACATATTATATTAACCGAATAACAATTAAAACAACAAAAAACAAAAAAATCCATCCAATTTGAAAACATATTTTTATTTGAAATAAAATTTGCATAATATAAAATCATTATCATCATCAGCATTTTTCTTTCATTTTTTGATCTTTATCATTTTATCAAACATTTTTTTCATTGATTTTAAGGCCACAGATAAACAAAACCAAACCAAACACATAAACAAATTGCCCACCACATTATGATTGACATTTTTTTTCTTGAATTTTTCTTTTCACATCAAACCAAATCAACTTACCACATAATCTTCTCAATTTTCCTAATTATCTTCATATAACACAATCAGATCTATCATTACATAACATTATTATTGTCATTCATTCATTTATTCATTACAAGATATTAAATCATATACGAAACAAAAACCAAAACATCATTCAATTAACTAATTATTGATTATCATAATTATCATTTATTAATTATATCATTATAATTATTATCAATTTTTAAAACAAACAAATAAAATAAAAATGTATAAGTTATAGACCAAAAACAAAAAAAAAGATGTTTTTATTGAAATTTTCAATGTAATTTTTGAAAATTTTTGAAAATTTACAATCAAACCAACCATCACCAGACCCCAATCGGTAAGTAAGCCATCATTAATTCATGATTATTAATTTTGTTTTTTTTTCTTATGAATTTTGTTGAAAAATCTAGAAATATTTGAATTTAAATATGACTGATTGATTGATTTATTGATTGATTTTTGAATTTTTTGGGAAATGATAACATTTTTTGTACAGGAACATGTAATTATTGCAAAAGAATATTTTGATATCGGATAATAACATGGGAAACGAAACAAAAAAAAAACAATCAGGATACTGAATGATCATTATTATCATTGAATCTGATCTGATTTGAACAAAAAAGACATGAAAGAATCCATCGATTATCGAATAAAGAAAAAAAAACAAAGAAAAAAAAACAACAAAAACAAAAAAACTTCGTAAGTTCATTTTTCGTAATTTGTTATTCCTATCAATACTCTTTTCTTCTTCTTTTACCCTAATTATATCATGAATTACATTGAACAACAAAAAATAAAAAAATTCATGTGAAAAAAAAACGATGGATGCTATTCGCTTGTGTGTGTGTGTGTGAAAAGCTTGATGTGTGCTATAATTTGCATTCAGTTTTAGAGGGATAATCATTTTTTTATTTTTGATTATAGTTTCATTCATAATCATCATCAGGATGAATAAAGATTTTTGTTGTTTTTGTTTCTATTTTGCATTACTTTCCTATCAGATTTCTTTCTGATAAAATGATGATGAAGATGATAATAAGCTCAAAGATCTGAATCTATAATTATTTGTTTAGTTTGATAGACGACATTTGTCAGATTGATTACATTATAATTTGATCATCATCATCATCGATTGATCGATATCAAGTTTTCTTCTTTTTTTTTGTAAAACCAAGGAAAATAGATTCTCTCAAGATAATTTACAACACTCGAATCGTTTGCTGTGAATCAGGAAAAACAAAAAAAAAACAAAAAAACAAAAAATTCAAAAATTATACTCTGCTTTTCAGGATGAAACATTCCTTGAATTTTGCTTCCTATAGTTAGTATCTGTATTACCATCCTCATCATATTTACGAAAATTTCAATGTTGATAATGAGGATGATATAGTTTTCGTAGTTGTTGTTGTTCGAGTAAATTATTTATAATATTGTTGTTGTTGTTTTTCAAGTTTTTATGTTGTTGTTTGTTTCTCGATTAGATTAGTGATTAATCTATCTATCTATCGCTCTATATATTAGTTTTATATTGAGAAGTTTGAGAAACAGGGATGTTGATGATGATGATGATGATAAAATCATCTATAATTCAAAATCTTGAATTTGAAATTTCTTCGTTTTTGTTTTTGTTATTTGATCAATGAAACAAATTTTGATGTCGGATAATATGATTATAGATTCGGTTTATTTTTTTTCTTTCGGTTGCTAGAAAAAAAAAATTCAGAAATTTATCAAATAATGTTCCGGAAGTTTTTTTGGAATTTTTTTTTTAGTTTTTTTCTGAAATGAAATAAAATAAAAAGAAACTTTCCAATGTTTCATTGTTGCCAAATTTGATGATGAATGGATCNTCTCGATTAGATTAGTGATTAATCTATCTATCTATCTCTCTATATTAGTTTTATATTGAAAAGTTTGAAAAACAGGGATGTGGATGATAATGATGATAAAATCATCTATAATTCAAAATCTTGAAATTTGAAATTTCGTTTTTGTTATTTGATCGATGAAACAAATTAGATTATATGATTATAGATTCGGTTTTTTTCTTGGTTGCTAGAATAAAATTCGGAAATTTATCAAAAAAATGTTCCGGAAGTTTTTTCAGAAATTTTTTTAGTTTTTTTCCTGAAATGAAATGAAAAAAGAAACTTTCCCAATGTTTCAATGTTGCCAAATTTGATAATGAATGGATCGTTGTTTGATGTTTTTCCATTGGATTTAGGAAAATTCGTTCTCTGAGAATCATTTTCTTTTTCATATATTATTTTGCAATTGAACATAAATCTTCATGTGAAAAATATATGACAGTTGCAAAAATATTATTTTCCCCACCACCACCATCATCATTCATTTTTCTTTAGCTAAAAAACAACTTTGAATTTGAAATTCCAAGAAACCCGAATTGAAAAATACTAAGATGATAAATTTCATTTCATTTGTTGGATCGATTTTCACCCGAAAAGAATCGATCCAAGAAAAGTGCAGAAATCACATCATCAAAATTTTCAACTGGAGAGAAAAAAATGAAAAAGATGAATGTATCTTCTGGATGTTTCCAAAAAAAAGCAAAAAATTTTCTGTTTCTCGGAAAGTTTCTCACTCAAGAATTGAATGAATGAAAAACCTTTTTTGTTGTTGTTATCGTCTTTGGCTGTAAATGGTATTTGACGGTTCTGATTTTGTTATTATTATCGAAAAGGAAAAGCCTAAATACATTTTTCCCCACTTCTTCTTATCGATTGATTTCTTTTCAAGTTTTTTCTTTTCTCATCCAATTTCTGATGCCATTTTCGATTTGTTGTTGTTGGCGTTTTGTGAACAACAACAACAACAACAACAACAAAAACAGCGTGAAAAACGATGATGATGATGAGAAAATCCGGCAGCCATTTTCTCACAGAATTTTTGTTGTTGTTGTTGTTGTTTTCTTTCCATTTCGTTATTTCCATTCAACAACAACAACAACAACAATCGAGAATCCATTTAATACAAGAATTTTTTCCATTCTTTTTTCTTCTCTCTTTATCCCATTGAATTGAGTTTTTTCTTGCTTTTTTTCTGGATTCTTTTCCAAAGAATATTCTTTTTTGTTTGATATTCACATCACACATACATTTAATGTTGTTTTTTTTACTTTTTGTTTGTTTGCTTGGGT